ATGGCCTCCATATTCGTCTGGGTTTTTTCCAAGTTTCTTCTGGTTCCCTCCCAAAGTCCAAATATAAAAATTACTGTAGCTAAATTGAAAACTATACTAATAATAAATATAACAGGAACTTGTTCTTACGTGGCACTCAGGACACTCTTCCCCAAAATGTGTTTTTTCAATTCAAAACATTGATCAGTAAATATAATCTACTCCCTGTATTTTTCATACACCCGGTCTTTGAATCACAGGATAGGAGTCTCTCAAATTGCTGCTAATTTATTTTTTTCTCCCATGTTAACCTAGGCTTAACTTTGATCCACAGTGAGTTTATTTAGCTGTCAGCTGAAGTTCCAACTGTGTAAACAATACAGTCTGTGCCTGCTTTCTAAATGAAATGACGTTAACAGTCTATTTAAAAACTATTAGTCAGTGCACTGAGATCAGAGCGCAGCAACTTCAGCTCATCTTTCTCTCTAATGCCATTTTCTAAGAAAAGACTTCAGTATTCCCCCCAACTCCCAACTCTGCACATTCTGGGATACGAACCGCTGACCTTCTTCCTGTGGGGCAACAGTGCTTGCCAGTAAAGCACACTGAAGGCTGGCTGACCTCTAATGTGGTAAATGACATGTTAGATAGCTTCAGCTACAATTTCAAAATGTCCAGGTTTTACAAACCACCAAACTCACGACAACCCAGCAGCATTTGTCTTCTTACAGCTGGAGAATCACTACTCTGCCACAGACTGCAAGTCAGAATGCATGTAAAATAGAAGAATTAATACGACTACCCATGTGCCGATGCTTCCACGTTCATGTCCATGCACTGACGGGGAGGCTGATCCCACACGTACAGTTAACAAGCTTATCAGTTAAGGAGCTTAAACATGGAAGAATATAAAAAATGCAGTTCTTTTCCAAACAACTGCCCAGTGCAGTGTTTAAAGACAGACTGGGAAACATCTATTCATCTGAATATTCCTTGCAAACATTGGAAATATTTTACTTTTTCAGACCTAGCTTGGCCTCAAAAAAAGCTCATACATTTTTAATAAGCACTTGATCTTGAGTGTCTTTCTTGCAGTATAACTGTAGCAGAAATATTTACTCTAGTGTATGCAAACAGCAGTCGACTGACTGCTGTTTGCATACACTACAGCCTGAGCCATCCAGCTCAGGGGAGGTGGATGGCTCGGGGGTCATTAGTACAAAACATGTGTTACGCAACACCTATATATAAACACATCTGAACATTAATATGCAGTATCTGTGACTCTACCACCATTTTGACAGCTTGTGTTGTAACAACTTCACGAGGGTAACAGTTAAAACTGAGGTTCAAAGTTACGCTGCTAAACTAAATAATTTCATCAACATAGAAAGTCAAAAAAATGAATTAGGAGAGGTATCATATTGTAGATATTTAAGTCGTAGTTCTCTACATGCAAACTCAGAAGGTTCAGCCTACGTCGTCTGTGACGGTTACATTCTTCAGGAGACATCCTCAGGTCTCTGTCTTAAAAAAAATACCTCATGATGCATAGCACTTGGAATGAACTCTGAAGTCCAAAAGCAAAGTCTGACTGTCTGCCACCAGGGGCTAATTGCAGGTAAAGGTCATTCTTAGAGAGTCAGACTGAGCTTTATTGTCATTCAAACCATGTGACACGAAAAGAACAAAAAAAACGTTACCAGGTCTTGGTGTGATGCATGGATAAAAGATGAATAAATAAAATAATAAACTAAATATTGGTCACATTTGGAACACAAACCTCTCTGGCAATTGTGCAACATTAAAAAAACAAACAATTAAAAACCATAACTTTAAACATTTGCTCAAGGGTCTGTTTGTGCTAAAGCCCACCCAGCGGGTTTGGAGAGCTATGTTCAGATTTGTGATAATCTCATTAGGGTAATGGGATTGTCTTCAGTGATACCTGTGAATCTGTGAGTGGAGCTTAAGCGTTGGGTGAAGGGAGGGAGCGGGTGAGGATTTTCGGCCTGTGGATACCTGTGCTGGGTTTTTGTTCCAGTCATTACATCTGATTGCATCAGAAACACCAAGGTAAATGGCTTCAACAGTACCACGTGGTTCATCTGCTCTAATCTGTACATCACCTTTATAAAACATTTATTTAACTCTCTAACTCTCTGCTGCAGAAATCTTCCCATAAAACCTCCTCAACAACAACAAATGTTTTTTTTATTTTTATAGACCAGCTGCAGACAGAAGAAAACCACATTTTAAATCCTGTCTTTATTTCATTTAACATAATGCATAATATATCAAGATAAACTCCACCTGACCACACAGCTAAAAAAAAACTTGGCTCCACTGAGTTACTACATCTCAGCTTGGGATGAAACTGATAGGACCCTGAAAATAGTCCGTCAGCGGACTGAAATATTCACAGTGAGTGTGTGTGTGTGAGTGTGTGTGTCTGGGTTGTCATCTGTGGCTCCAGTGCAGTGTAAGTCTTGTGGACAACATGTGTTGTCTGTTGTCTACTTTGACAGTGAAGGGCAGGGAGTCCATTTGTTTAGTGCGTGCGTCCGGACTGACCCTGGGTTTTATCCTGCTGGAATTAAAGTCCAGTTCCACATTATCTGGGATTTACTGTTCAAAGACGCAGGATGCTGCAGATGAGAAAAGTGTGGAGATTTCAGGCCAATCACTACAGAGGAGAGCAGGACAAGTGCACTGAAGAATGATGATGATGATGTGACACAAAGATAAATGAACAAACAACTTTAAGTGGGAAAAAGAATCAAGTAAAAATAGGGAATTGATTAATCAATCAAAAGATGGAACGATTGACCGGACTTTGAACAGAATCCAACGAAATTTTCATGATCGTAATACTTCAAGACAATATCTGTTTCAGCAAGTAACACGACATTATTAATGTGGCCAAAAAAAAATTGTAACAAGAATTGTAATTCTCATTAAAGCCTTATGTTATATTTCACTACATTTCTGTCCATTAATGCTTATTTATCTAAGAATTTTGCGACCACTGGCTGTGAGGCTAATGTGTTGGAGATTCTCTTTTATGTCATTGTTGCACAGTAGTGCGATCTTCTGGACAGTGACCCATGCAGTAAGGGTGTAGCAGGAAAATGCCATCCCTGAGGCCTACAGGCCCCCCTGTGGCTCAGTGGGACGACTGCTGGGGGGAACTAGGAGGGCACTGAGCTCCAACAACTGTGTTCTTTCAGCTAAAGTACGGACAACACATATGTGATGTGAAGAGCAATTGAAAATAAAAAAAAGGAAGTGACTCAAACACACTGGAGTTTCCTCTCTCCTACGCGTTCAAAAATAGTGCCTCCGGCCCACACAGGCTTCCGAAAACCCCTCTCGGAGTTAATGGGAACTGAAAAGCTCCTGACTCATGAGGACTTATGAAGGGGATTTGCTGCTGATGCCATCACAACATGGTTAGTGTTAACTGGAGTGCAAAATGAGAGAGAGAAAATGTGTTTTCGCTCAGCCTCTGTAATCTGTACAGCAGCTGTCGGCCTGTTGTTTGGACACTTCTGTGTGTGTGTGGGTGTGTGTTTATTCTATATCTGCCATATTATTGTTTAATTACTTTCAAGCGCAGCTCAAAGATGCCAAGGGTTGAGATGAGAATACAATATGTAATGTAAATAAATGACCATGTTCTCCCTCTGTGAGGATGAACACTGTGATAATGTTGTTTGGCCTCATTATTCTGCCTGTTTATGAGCACCGTAACTCAAATAAGTTAAGGACCAATGGCTTCGACATTTTCTGACCATGAACGTTACGGCACAAGGAAAAACCATTGAGATTGTTTAACATTCCAGATAGAGAATCGCCACTTGTTAGTACTGATGCTCTGAGAACTAAAGAAGCTTCAGGAGAGACTTTCTATTCAAATATTAAACTATTTAACAAATGCTAGTCTTTTCTGATCCTCAAGCAAACACACACCATTACAGTACATCCTTTGGATTTATTCTATTAATAAAGCAGACTACAAACTACTTAAGTTTGATATTTCAATGACTCATGGTACAATTTGCCAGATGAGTTTTTCCTCAGACGGGTTGTGGAAAGGAAGAAAAGTCGGCTGCCAGGAGAGAAGGGCCAATCATGGGACTGAATAATATTATTGATATGGCTTCCAGGTTATTCCCAGACAGTATTTCGACTCAACTTTTTGCTTACGATAGCCTCCTGCACTTCCACCATAAATGTAAAATTGCGTGTGATAATTATCTTCATTGGATCTAGTCCCAGTCATAATTCCAATCCAATTTAGAAGGAGAATTTATGATAAAGCATAACAATTGCAGTCCCATAGAAATTCAAAGTCAAGGCAAAGAAGTCATAGAACATGAAAATCACATCCTTCTGTCTGTCCAGCACATTTAATTTCCATTTTACACATTATTTCAGTCCCTTATTTCTATTTCTAACCATTGTCCTCAAAAAGCTGTAGGGCTAAGTGTTTAAAAATGCAATTCTAATAAGGCACTATTACTTACTTAGATAACATACCCTAATATATTTTACAATCTGTTCAAGGCTCATATGGAAGATCTCCTGGTGGTGACCCAGGTATCTTGCAGTGTCTGTGGTGGATAAATACATGGATTTCTCCAGTGCAAAGGGAAAAGAAGAGTACCCGCCCCCTGTCCAGTAGTAAAGCCCCCATACTGTACACAGTGTAGTAAATGACATGGTTTCCAAAGCCATAATGATTAAATATGTCCCATCATCATCTGGACCACTGTATGTATAGACGGAGCAGCTGGTATTTTAAGTTGTACAAACAAAAAAGATCCCGGTGTTTAAATGACAGCCTGTCGTTATCGCCTCGGCTGCTCAACAATGGAGGTTTTTTTACCGATGCAGTCCCAGTCAGGATGGCTGCAGAACCACAGGGACACGGAGGACGGTTGTAAACAGAGCACGGCTGCAGCAGAATGGATGGAAATGAAATATCAAGTGTGGCAGAGAGGGAAGAGTCTCCTTACCTTTATCTTGGCTTGAGGAAATGCTCTCCTCCTCTTTGGGATTTGCAACCTGTGTTATTATGGACGTGTTGTCCATGGAATCGAGATGTTCGTGCGCTCTCGGTTCGTCTTATTTCTTGGTAAACATTACCAAGATGAATACTACTGCTACTATTACTACTACTACTACAGTCCTCTGACTGCTGCTGGTGCTGCTGGTGCTGCTGGTGCTGGTGTGAACGGGAAAACGCGAGCTGCGTTTGCACCATCAAAATCCAATTTTTATGTGTAAACGCGCAGCAACAGCAGCGGCGGTGCCGTTCATCTTAATTCAAGAGCGAGGCGAAGCGTCGACGAAATAAAACAAAAGAGAGAAAAGGACGGAAAATAAAGGTCCAACATGTGAGTGAGGTGACAGTCCGACAGTCTGTGCGGGAGACAAACAAAAACACGTCAACGCCGCGTTACCGGAGCTGCTGTGCGTGGCCGTGGCGCGTCCGCTGTGCCTGTGGAGGTAGGCAGCATAATAACGACAATAATACGACGACGAATACGACGAAGAAGAAGAATCCCCTCCTTCTCTTCCCGCTGCTGCTACTGTACGCTAAGCCTCGGCTCCGCTCACTACAACAGTGTCGAGTGCGTGATACGTTCCCAGTGTTTACCCAGAGATGGCGACCGTCCTCCTGCCACAGGGTCAGCAGCAGCAGCAGCAACACGCCCATGCAGCTCAAATATTTACCAACCTTCTCAGCTCAGACTGGAAGAAAATACTCTTGCTGCTTTCTCTAAGGATTCAAACGTTCAAGTGAGGTGCAAATGTGAGCAAAATAATAATAATTAAAAACAAACAAACCAATAAATAAATAAATAAATAAAAAATGGCGCCAAAATTGCTGGTGTAAAAGAGCTTAGTTTGGATTTGCACTTTTGACTTATAAAAATAAAAGATAGGGATAAATATTCCTTAATTTTCTGTATAACGCACGTTGTGCGTTTTATTCACAAAACACATTTTTAACATAAAATTAGAATGCAGACATGGAGGAATGAATATACAGACGATATTTTATTGAGTTTATCAACAGTAGATAATAGAAGACAGTAAGATTAACAATATTATTGTAAACCAACATAGATTATTATGGGAATTTGTGGTCTGATGAATCACTAGGTAGCTGTGGATTAATCACTATTAATCAGGATGGAAATTAATATTAAATCCAAATTAATCAACAAATAAAAGGTATGTGTATGTACCTGTTTCACAGCACACAAAAAATGTTTAAAACTATAACTTTATAAACACACAAAGTGAAAACAGTGTCAAGGGACGGTGTGTGTGTGTGCTCAGTAATTTCTTAGCAACCTTTGGTCTGATGATTTTGAATTCATCAAGTCAGCACATTAAATAACATCCTACATATATGAATTCCTTGATGCAATAATCTCCAGGACCACAGATGGCACAGTTCTAGTGCTCCGATGAACAAATATTATCTGTGCTATATTTAAGCTTCAGTGAACCACAGAATTACAACAAGGGTGGTAAAGTGGTTTTCTGGTCCTCTTCCAGCTGTGACGCACCTAAGAGTGTTTGTCCCTCTCACCTTTGCTGTCACGTTAATGGACCAGGAGCCCACATAGCCTTAAATGGCCCTACCTGATAGACAAACACAGGGTGGCATATGGACAAAACGCAAACTGCAGTAAAATGCAGGCTGTCATCCATAGCTGTTGGCCATAATTAGTATGTAATGTCCTGACCATCATGATCCTCTGAGTCTGTGTTACAGCCCCTGTCACCAATGTTGACAATAATCTATGTGTACAGCTGATACGGCGACACACTCCTGGGCCACTCTGCAACAAACCACAATCTCTTCTCAGCACTTGACAGTCAGTGTCAGGTTACTGAAGAGTGTGTGGTTCCTGGATATCTGATGACCTAGTGTGATTGTGTGTGTGTACTCACCAAAGGTCACTCTAATAAAGGTAAGATGAGAAATTCTTCAAAAGAGAAGAGGAAGTGAATACTTCCTTTGTTTTCAGGTGAATAAAGGTAAAAGAAAAGTGGATTTGAAAGAGGAGAAAAAAACAAAGCTGTAGTACAGGGTTTGATACAATCAGGATCAAGATCCTGGCATATTAGTCAAGACTGTGGCTCTGAACCTTATGGAGTTCAGGATAAACTCCAAGGACGATGCTTAAATAGATGAGGTGTCGTATCACTTAAAATCCATGCACACAAGGAAATTTTATGTCATGCACACATTAATTTAAAAAGGGGCTTAGAATTACACTGACCACATTTGACTACAATTTGTTAATACTCGACCATTGTTTATGGATCGATTGGCCCAACAAAAATCACATCATCATTTTGTAAACTGACTGACAGATTCAGACTGACTGACAGACTACAACTACAACTGACAACTATTCTTTAAAAATGGATACATATTCTTTTCTCCAGGGAAATTGGAAATCTCAAGCAGCAAATTTTTATTGATGAATTTCAAAAAGTCAAATATTTGATATTAACTGTGGGAGGACAAATATGATCTATCCCCAAAGCCTTCTGACACATCTGGTGTGCTGTCAGACTGCAAATCCTTGAATGTTTTATGAACCTGGGTGTGAGAAATTGAAACGGCACAATCCTCTTCTTATGCAAGGCTCTTGAGTTTATCATTCTACTGGGCCTTACATACAGATCCTACATGTAAAAAGACATGTTAAACCTAATAGACACTGCAGGAAATAAGGAAGTCGCTGACACAAAGCAATAAAAACACCAGAGGCTGGGGGAAAACAGCCAAAGCTGCACATGACATGTGTCTACGTGCACTCTTACAAAAATAAAATGTCGAACTCTTATATTACATTGATAAAGTCAATTTTATAACTGCACTATATGGGTGTTGATTCGGGTGTTGCCTTTAAAAGTGATCGTTTGTAAGCCTGCGGCTCCACCTTGTGGTCAACTACTGTACATCCTATTTTACTTAATGGTGTGCCGCACAGGCAGGAAATTAACTTTTCACTTATATTTTTATATTTTTTTTAACTTTCATTGACATTTTCATAATTTTGGTGGACTGTTTGTATACTAAATATTACTAACTAAAATATTTTTGTAAAACACCAGGATATGGAACTTAATATATATGGAAAAAGTACATTTGATCATAGTAACAATGGTTTTGGTTGTTTTAAATTATTATTTTCTTGTTTGGCTAAATCCTTGCTGTTTTTTAAGTTAAAGTTACGAAATGCCAACTAGCTATTTCGAGATTCATATTAATAATCATTTGGCCATTTTTAGTTTTACACATTATGAATAATTCAAAGATTAAAAAATAATTAACTATCCAACATTTTCTTAACTTTTTGAGTTTTTAGGGTAATACAAAAGCTATTTTAAGGTTTGTCATTTTGGGTATTTTCTTTTGTTTACTTGTGTTGAGATGAACATTCAGTTTGTGTCGTAGTTTAAATCGCGAATCTGCGACCATATATCTACAAGTGCCGCTGCGTGGCGCGTAGGGAAACTGCAGGCAGGAAGCCGAAGAAGCAATTATTCCCGCTACAGTTACTCATGAATTTAT